ATCATTTCCCCGAGTGCAGCAGGATTTTGCACGAGGAATCCTGTTTTCATGTTCATGAACTATTTCTGATGATGGAATGTGTCAGGTTACATTAGCTCATCTTAAGGAAAAACCAGCTCCTTCGACTCCAACTGGTACTTCATCAAGCTACAGTGCCAGTAGTGGATTCCGCTCAGCAACAGCGAGGTTGCTGGGTGGCGGGAATGGGAGTCGTGCTCTTAGTTTCGTCGGAGGTAATGGAGGGAGCAAAAGCACGATTACAAGCACGAGAATCGGCGGTTCATTCAGTGCCACTGGTTCCAACACGTCGGTAACAAATACGAATTTCGACGGGAAAGGAACTTACTTAGTTTTCAATGTAGGCGATGCCATTTTTATTTGTGACTTGAACTCTCAAGACAAGGTAATTCTTGCTGTTTCACTGACGAGATTTAGAGGCAGTGGGGGGATGGTTTTGGGGTCAATGGCTAAGCACGAATTCTTTGATGTAGGATCCAATAAAGTCTATCCATTTCAGTAATTCAAACCCTATGTGCCATGCATTTGACCCGGATGCTAAGGATGGACATGATTTGCTTATTGGGCTGAATTCTGGAGATGGTAATATAGAAAATTTTGAGTTGAACCTGTTATTTTACAGTTTGGAGATGCGATTGTCTTGTGGATTTATTGTCTCGCTGTATATTGTAGTCTACACCGTATCACTGAGACAGCAGTTACAGGATGTTGGTAAGAAGCTTGTTGGTGCAATGCATTATAACAAGGATGGTTCTGTCAATAACAGGCAAGAGTCACTCTTTGTTATGTCTCTTTTAGTTTTTTTTTCCTTTGGTGCTAGAATCCGTTAAAAATGATTGAATATGTCATTTCTCTTAATTCGCATTTGTTTGTGTGAGATCCTGTATATATTATTATTTTAGGTCATCATTTGTTCTTCTCCGTGATTCGTTATCAATGGCATAAGCTATAATTGTTAATTTGATGTCACTGGACTTGATGTAATATGTATGTTCTTGGTAACTTAAGATATTCAGTCCAAGACTTGTATAATTACAGAATAACTTGTAGTCTAGAAGGGCCTTTTCTTTTGCTGAGATGTGTTAGAATGCGAATCCGGTCAATTTTCCCCCCGAAATTTTAAATAATATTTTGCCCTCTCTAAGAGTAAGGTGAATCTTGTTGTTTTGCAACAGCCGTTGTACCGGTATTGCTTGGGTGCCTGGAGGGGATGGAGCCTTTGTTGTTGCTCATACCGATGGAAATTTGTACGTTTATGAGAAGGCAAGCTTTGCATACCAGAAGACAATTCTTTACATCTGATTTGCTTAATTTTATCACATTTCTGATCCTTAACGATTTTCGTAATTCTAGAACAAAGATGGTGCCACCGATTCTTCGTTCCCTGTTATACGAGATCCTACACAATTTTCAGTTGATAAAGCAAAACACAGCAAGGTACATAGGGACCAGACATTCTCTAGTAGTTTTGCCATTTGTGGATGGTCTTAAAATAGTTATTGTTTGATTATGGACCTTATTTTATTTCACGTCATCGTTTTAATTTCCGCAAGTGTTCATGCAGAGTAATCCTGTTGCTAGATGGCATATATGTCAAGGTTCAATTAACAGCATTGCATTCTCAAATGATGGGACATACTTGGCTACTGTTGGAAGAGATGGTATGATTCCGATTTTTTTCTTTACACTCGAACCGATAAATGATGGGATGTACTTCGTTTTGATTGTGTTTCTTGATTGAGCAATTGGATTTTCTACCATATCCAGGTTACCTTCGCGTTTTTGACTTCTCAAACCAAAAGCTAGTATGTGGTGGAAAAAGTTATTACGGTGCTCTATTGTGTTGTGCTTGGAGGTTAGTAGATGCAATTCCGTTTCCAAATGATGGTTTTCTCCATTGAAATCGGAAAAAACCCAAAAGGGTTTTTTGTCTTTTTAACATAAGAATCGTTTTTTCATAATGTGTCATGCCATTTTTTAGCATGTGGATGGAGTTTGTTGTGTATTGAGTTCATGATCTTCTTGACAGTATGGATGGTAAGTATATCTTGACCGGAGGTGAAGACGACCTGGTTCAAGTGTGGAGTATGGAAGACAGGAAGGTTGTGGCATGGGGTGAGGGACACAATTCATGGGTAAGGGCTCTTTGATCGATTTACCCGTGAATTCATTTCCAAACGCCATTTGATTCACATGGAATGACAATTGTCCGCAGGTAAGTGGAGTGGCGTTTGATTCCTATTGGACATCGCCAAATTCAGATGGATCGGGAGAGAATATCATGTATCGGTTTGGTTCAGTTGGCCAGGTATGTCATCACTGATACATATATAAATGGCTTCATTACAAAGGATGTGCCTTTTCACGTAGAGAGCTTATCCCCGCAAATTTGACCGATTTTCTAGATTGAATCTTATCTATTTGCCCTGCAATGTTTTTACAAGATGAGCCTAAACCCCAAATCTATCAAACACCAATAACGCTGTCCCGAAGTTCCCGTCCCGTGTTTTCTCCTATGATTGACTAGCCCTCCTTCGGCATTTTACATGTTTGAGTCTTTATGTCTGATGCTTATTATACTGAACAGGACACTCAGTTACTTTTATGGGACCTCGAAATGGATGAGATTGTGGTTCCACTTCGACGACCCCCTGGAGGGTCCCCGACCTACAGCACGGGAAGCCAGTCGTCGTCTCATTGGGACAACCTCGTACCGACGGGAACCCTTCAGCCCGCCCCGTTCATGCGCGATGTCCCAAAGCTCTCCCCTGTGGTCGCTCACCGTGTCCACACGGAACCCCTCTCGGGTTTGATCTTCACCCGAGAATCGGTCATCACGGCGTGTAGAGAAGGGCATATAAAGATCTGGACTCGACCCAGTGTCTCGGAATCGGAATCCAACAGTCCGGAAGCAAATTCCACAACGACCCTTTTGAGCAACCTCGTCTCCAAAGACAGCAAGGTCAGTGGTTCCAGTTACTACAAGCTTTGACCGAGTCAGATGCCGATGCTTGTCTGAATTCAGTTTCTGTTTCATCGTATTGTTTTCATGTCTGGTTTTCTCATTCGGAAAGTCGAAAAAAAAAAAAAGCTCTGTGAATATATCTCTCTCCTGGGTTTTGGGAGCTGTGACAGAGATCGAGGGAGGAGGAATGGAAAGAAAACAGAGACGAAGAGGATATATTTGGGGATGTAATTATGAAATCGGCTCGTGCTTGATTAGGGTTCATATCATCCAAAGAAAAAACTAACAAGAAAAAGGAATAATGGAGGTTTGGTGCTTCAGAAATGAACTCTGTATTTTCTTCCAGTTGCAGAGATGACACTTTGGCTTTCTGATTCCTTTTTCTTCATGGCAGTCCTATTTTTCACATGTTTTACATATATATATATATATATGTATATTGAAATTTATTTTATTTTGATAGGAGAAGTACATGTTAAGTCCAAAGTTTTTTAAATGAGATAATTATGTTTCGGTGATTAATTTATGACCTCGATCTTGACAGATTATTTAATATTATAGGTATTAATTTGGTTGACTATCAAATAATCAAATGAAACTTAATCTAGTTACACGTGACATAAAAATAATGATTACGAAAGAATAGAAATATTTTAAAAGAAACAGTACTTTTGATGATAAAAGCTGAAATCAAAGTCATATCTAAAATAAAATATAAACGAATTAAATCCAAATATATAAAAATTGGATGGTTGTAATATTTATAAAATAGAGATAAACGAGACATCTACCATTCTTGGGCTCTTGTAATGGGTCGGATCTCAGTCCATAATATTTGGGCTTTTGATGGGCCAAACCTCTTTAAAGTCACCATAGATGCAAACCGGGTCGGGCCAATCCAATTCGATTAGAGTCAGCCCGTGTGGTCCGTTTTTGCCGGAGTTATAAAAATCTCACCCAATAAAAAGATTTAAAAAAAATAAGAAAAAATTAAAAATAGTTAAAAAAAAAATTAATATTTTTTAAGAAAAAAATTTTCTACTTTGTAAGACTTGTACTGAATTCGAGTTGGTTCGTCAAATCCATTTTTTTATCTCGTAATTTTTTCAATCTAATTCGATAAAAACGAGTTTTAGATCCTAATTCACCGAGAGGGGGCAATTACTTATGAAAATACATACATTTGTTGGATTTCATCATTGCATTTTTATTTTGTTGAAAAAAGAAGAAGAAGCATAGTACTTATATTTAAGAGTCATAAATTCCATGTGTGTGTTTCGCTTCCAATTAAAAAATTGAGTTTTTTTTTTGTCCCATCAATAATAATTTAAAGGTGGGGCCCAAAACGTGGTTGTACGATGAATGCTGTCTGCTAATTGTCACAATAATTGCTTTGCATTTATATTTATCTGTGATAAAAAAAACTGTTAATTAAATCTTATAATTCTGGCTACGATTAAACATGATATCACAATTAAATTAAAATTATTACATTACAAGAAGTTATAAAGTAAGTAATTTAGTAAGTTAATCGTTCTTATTATCAGTTTTAACAAATTAAATATTAAATTGAAAACAACAAAATGTCGTTCGTTTGCCTTAATTAAAATCTACTCTAATATATACATACATTGGTACATATATATATATATAATAAATTATATTATATTTATAAATGATTTGTGACAGCTCACCAACGAGTACGAGTGGAGGGTGGCGAGGCATTTGGAAATTTTCAGTGATAATGTTGAAATTCAATGTATTAGATGGAATCTTCTTTGATTTGGCATTTTCCCTTTGTTATTATTGTTAGTCTCACTTTGTCCTTTTCATTAATTTTGATGATGTAATAACTTTTACAGTTTTTTATTTTTATTTTTGATTTTGGATTTTGGTAAAAGGTTGTAGTATTCATCATTTTTTTTTATGTAAAGTTTAATCTCCATAAAAAGATTCGCTGTTTATAAAATCTGTAGTCTAATAATTCGTTCTTTCTAATATTTGATAAAATGAGCCCAATAACTTTTAATAATATTTGGACTCATTTGTGAATTAGAAAATATAGTTTCTGATCTATTTTCAATATAGTAAGTGCAATGTTATATCATTTAATATTCATAGAATCAATAGTTGTCTTGTAATACAATATTGAATTAGAACAAATAATATATGGCATAGATGTTATTTAAAATACGGTTAAAAATAATCTTATTCTAACCAAATTAATAGATTTTAAATTAAATAAAAAATAACAAAATGGATAAAAAAAGAAAATTTTAAAAAGATATTTGAATCAAAATGAAAGAAAATTTAATTTATAAATCTAATTTTTTACATTTTTTATAGATATAAATAATTTTTAAAAATTTAAAATAACTTCATATACTATCTAAAAATTTCCACTCATAAATATTCGATATGCCCAACAAAAAAAAAAGTGTCGGTGGATCGGATATGGAACTAAGGTGGGCCATAGGAATCCCTCCCCATACCATAAAGCATTTTTAATCGTTTTTTTTATAATTATCTTTTTTTCTTTGGGATTAGTGATCAAAGTAAATCAAAGCAAGCTCATGATTACACGAGGAAGCTTTAGAAGGCGCCACGTGTCATAATGACGTCATCACCACAGCTCTCGCGCTTTATTACTCTCTCACTCTGCTTTGCTGATCCAGATCTCAATCCCTTCATCGTAATCCCCCTCCCCCTTTCTCATCGAAATTTCCGAAACCCTAATTTCCCGGATTTTCTTCAGATTCGAGGCGGTCTTGTTCGGAAGGAGACAAGCCTATCGATCTGATAAGGGTGAGGTGATCGTAGAATGTGATGTAGGTGAGGTTTCGTTTAATCGGATGGTTCGATCGGAGGGGTAAAATGGAGCGGATTTGGTTCGAGCCGAGGCCAAGACGTACATCGGGAAGGGTCTGGTTAGGGTTACAAATCTCGATGGGTCTCCTCGTGGGTGGAAACCATACCTCCTCCAGGTTTTGCACTCGCTAACTCTCTTTC